CTGACTGGGAAAGTCTAAGTTCTTTTCTACTTACTTGTGACTATAACTTAAAGCATAAGAGTATTATACTTTTCCTTCCCCGACATATAAAATGGGAATGATCTAATCAGCAAAGGCAGAGCAGGGGCTTGAGATGAAGGCCAAAGAGCCTTTCTCTGCCTTCTCTCAACTCCCTTAGCAACCTAGCATCTCCACCTCTGACTATGTCCACCTGACGATGGAGAACAGAGTAGACACTATCTAAGAGGACATCCTTAAAACTAGTGACCACTAGAATTCTCCTCAGTTCGGTGTTGAGCAAACTCTGTGCTCCCCTGCTGAACTCACTCGGTGGTAACTTGAGCTAGCAGCATACCGTGTGCACTGGTATACCCTTCTTGGGCTTGATAAACACTCAGGATTGCTCTCTCAAGGGACCAAAAAGCCACTTCATCCCTATGGGAAAAGTCTTCGGACTGCCTTGCACTTGCTTTCCTGATGTAGGTCAGGAATTAAAGCCTAGAATGCTGCTTTCTCTAAACGATGTGACCTCCTGCCAATTGCTTACTCTTTCAAGGCCTGTAAAGGAAGAGCAGAAGGGATGGTGCACAAAGTAGCCCAGTCGATCTGACTTTGAATCTCATCCTTGCCATTACCCACTGGTGTGACTTGACACAGTCTACTTAACCCAGAGTTTCTAAGGCAGTGTGCTATGAGGGGCATCATGTGTACTAAGAAATTACCGGTTCTCGGTCAGGTATGGCTCACGATGACTGGGGCCTGGAGATAGTTGCCTCCAGCCACAAGCAGCCTCATCATTTTCCGGAGCATGTCTTACAAACATTTCCCATGTGGCTTTGTTGAGAGGAAACTTAGGAGCCTTGTCTGTCTTAGTTTCTAGAGCTATTGTAACAGAAATAACACCAGTGAGTGGTTTCCAAGAACAGCTTTAGATCTTGAAGTCCAGAAGCTTAGAAGGCTAACTTCAAGGCATGGTGCTAGGCGGGAGGCCCTTCATTGTCTGTTTCAGCTTCTAGTAGTCGGCAGGCAGGCCTGAGCCTTCCTGGAGTTACTGATACATCTGCCTTGTGGGTCTGTCTTTCTGTGGCATTTCACCACTGCATCGAATCTACTCTTTATAACTTTGAAGTAATTAGATTTAGGACCCAGCCTGCTCTGGCATGGCCTCAATAACATAACAAAAATTCCAAACCAGGTCACATTTATAGGTACAGGGGTTAGGATTTTGACTCATATTTGAGGGACAGATGCAGTTCAATATATAACACTGATTTCTGTCCTTCACATCTGTTACCTTCCCCTCACTGGAAAATGAGACTGACAACAGTGCCATTTCATAGAAAGGGTTCAAAGGTAAGATTCGGTACAATGTCTGGCTCATTTAAGCACTGAGGCAATTATGGGTAATTCTAACTTTCAGCAAAACCATTATCATCTCTGACGTTGTCTCAACCATAGATTTCCCTTAAAAAGAGTGACATGTTGTCTTCCCTCCATCCTAGGGGGTCATAGTGAGGTTTAGCAGACAAGCCATCTCTAGGTGCAGGCAATGTTACTTTCTAGACACACAGGGGGAAAAGGAATCCAGGCTGCTATGAATTCTTCTTTCCATATAGGTATAACTCTTCTTTCTATATAAGTACAGGTATAACAATAATTGGCAGACAAGCCAATTATTGTAGCCCTTATTTCTGAGGAGGTACCTTAACATTCAGTTCTGTACTCTACATGGTCCTTTACAATCAGATAAATTCTAGGACCTTTAGTTCATCTCTCTCTGGCTAAGAAATCATACAGATGTATGAGGATTCATGTAAAGAAAAAAAATTTTTTTAAAGTCAAGGTCCTTTTTCATCATTTGAACTTTGGAGGACTTGCCTGGAAGAGCTCAGTGAACGCTCAGATGCTTCCTGGCCTGTTGGTCCTCACTCTCCATGGCCCATGTGCCAGTAAGTCTTGTCCATTCTGCCTCTTGTTCATCTCTAGACTGCTTTCCTGGGTAATGGGTGCATGCCACTCCAACAAGCTCGGACTTTTGGCCAAAGCAACCTTGCTGAAATATAATCTTGGGTTATCCAAGCATGCCCACTGTCTTCCAGATACTGCCCCAAGCCCTCCACACTACGTGCTAGACTTGTCATGCACTCAGCAGCAGTTTTTGCCTCATATTTCTTCATGTTTTCCCACACTACCTACCTCCAGACACATCAGCTTGGTATTCCCTGTATGTGCTATGCCCTCTCGTGGCTCTGTATTTTTGTCAATGCTATTTCCTTGTTCCCAAATGCCCTTCCTCCTTCTCCTACTAGGTCCTACCCTGTCTACCTGAAGACTTCTCTCAAGTCATCCTTACCTGATCATGAAGAGATGATATCATGACTACATTGTCATGTAATGATCCATTACATCATAGTATTTATTCCTCTGGAGTATAATATCCTGTTTCCGTGTACATATGTCCCTAAACTGGAAGTTCCAGAGAACAGAATCCATTCAGTAATTCCCCAGGAACTTGTACT